GTCACTGCCGCCCGGCGGGCCCGAGGCCGGCCTCAGCCCCGGCAGCTCCCATTGACCTGCCCCGCCTCACTGGACGGAAGCGTGAGTCCGGAGGAGGGATAGGGAAGTGGGGAGCCCAAGGTGTGAGACGTCGCGACTACAGGAGCTTCCCGTGTCCTCAGCGCTTTCATGTATTGCTCTCCTCAGTGCCCCAGACAAAGTCACTAGCCTACTACTACTCCACGTTAGAAGGGGAGACGGAAGCTGGGTCTTGGTCAAGGTCTCCGGACTTATAAAAGGAGCGTATTTGGAATCCAGCAACCTGAACACTTACTGTTTCTGCATGGCTGCCCTGACCCCTACATACTGTTAATGGGTTGTGACATTCACCAGTGACCCAGGACCCATCTCCAGCCGATCATTGCAACCTGGCATTAAAAGGTCATTGTGATTTTACTGATGTCTAGGCATTAGGAGAGGCAGCCAGGGAACAAGCTGTCAACCTTTGAGCCCTCATCATGACCTGGGGCCTATAGGCTGGCTGCTGGCTGGAGTGCTTCTTTGGCCCCCAGGTGCTCCAAGAGTCTGTGGGTCTTCTCCCATATGGGAAGGTGTTTACTGGAGCCACAGGGGATGGAGCCAGAGGACACAATACCCTTTATCTAGAGTGGACCAGGTGCCTGACCTCTGGGGAAGTGGAGGGTAATGGGTAGCATAGCTCAAATGTTCCCAGCCCAGGGCCATGAAGCTTTGGAGGGGCTTCTCTGAGGAGCCCCAAAGTGATTTCCACTTAGGCAGCCTTATGACCTCTTGGGACAAGGGAAAAACATCCACAGCAGGTGTCACTGGCAGCTTAATGCTGGGCACAGAGCAGGGCACACATCAGTTTATATTTGTCAAGCAAATCTTAGGTCTGGACGCAAGCTGCCCCACCAAGGACTGTTGCCAGCTTTAGAGAACTGTTTTGAGGAGGAATGGTGAGCAGATGGTAGGGACATTAGGGCTCTACTCTGATTGCTCTACTCAAAGGCTGTCACTGTGGCTCTGGAACTGTGGGCCTTTGCCCTGCTGTGGGCCTTTGGCTGCCTGAGGGTCCAGCCAAAGTAAACAGAGCACGCTGTCCCCTAACCTAGTCTGTTCAGTGTCCTTCACGTAGAGAAGAGGATGCCATCTCCAGCTGATCAAGAGCTGGCATTAAAAGGCTGCCCTTCTCCCTCCACTACTCACACAAAGCATTCACCACTGCTGAAACCAAATTCCTGCTTCTCCAACACTGCTTCTGTCCTGGACCAAGACAGCTGCCTCCTACCTGGCCTCCCTGCCTTCCTCCTCCAATCCACTTTCTCAGAGTAGCCTGTTATTTAGAAATATATATCTGACAATTAACATCTCATACTAATGGAGTGAAGGTTTATACATCACCCACTTGGTGCCAGGCCTGTGCTTCGAATCACTTCTTGTCAACTTCTGCAAGCCGCACTGTTCTCAGTTTACCCTGCTGTTCCTGCACTCCTGTGTGACTGCTTGGGTGACTCTCTCCAGGCCCTTCTCACCCCTGCCTCCCCTACCACCACACACAGCCAGGAGGAGCTGCTTGCACCCTGGCCAACCAGAGGACACAGCCCCCTCCGTATCACAGGAAGCACAAATCATCTGTTTTCTTGACAGTCTCTCCCTAGACACTGTTCGCATCCCAGGCATATTCAACTAGGCACATCGTGAGGGCTCAATAACCCCTTCGTGGGCGCCTACATGAATGAATGAACTCAGAGCCCAGGAGTGTGAGCGGGAGGTTGGAGCATGCTGAAGTTGAATAAAGCCGTGGGCCAGCCATTCATTCATATCTGAGCCCCTAGCTGCCAAGCCTGCAGGGGCACTGGCTCCGCTGAGGACGGGAAGGGGCGGGGCGTGGGAGGCTCATCCGGAACCTAGGGGCAGAGGAGCGTGAGGGAGGGCCCCGGAGGACGGGTTGGGTTCCTGGGTCCCACGACCTGCTCTTCCTTTCCCTCCTGTTACCCGCAAAAAAATCTAGGTCCCCACCAGACTGAGTCCCGGCGCCTCTGGGCTTGAGGCTCCGAACCAGGCAGGACCAGGGGATCTTCAGTCCCAGCGAGACCCTCGACCCCCTACCGTAGCGGGCTCGGCGCCCGCCCGCATTTCCCATACACTGCTCGCCAGCCGAGGTCTCCTGGGGCCATGCGGCCCCTTCCCGCCCCACACCCTACCCTAAGTACCCACCGGCGTGGTTCTTCGGGTCCGCGAGCGAGGGCCGGGCTGGGCGGCGTGGAGAAAGGAGAGG